CTCTCCATGATCAGTTGGCTCCTGCAAAACCTCCTGGAGCGGGCGGCGGAGGAGCGCGCAGCTGCTCAGAAACGCCGGCCCCTGCGGCACCGCATAATTCCTCCACTGTTCCCGGGACCGCCGCGCTTCCCTCGCACAATATCCCGAATTGTGCGGGGTTAAACCGGCCCCACACAACGCCCGCATTCACACCCGGCCGAGGCGAGCAGCAGCCGCGGAAATCCCCTCCGTCCTGGCATCGGGGGCCGGCGAGCCAGAGGCTGCCCTCGCCGGCAGAAACGGGCAACCGGCCTTTCTAACGGGGAAAACACCCTTGCTTAGAGTGGTGGGGTTTTGGTTTTTATTTCCCCTCCCTTTTTTTTTTCATCCTTCCAATCCACTTGTTCGACCAGGGCAAGCGTTAGGGAAAGGCAAGGTCAGCAGCGGCACGCAGGCACTTGCAGCTCCTCATTAATCCCCCCCGGGGAGCTGAGCGTACCACAAAATAATCATCATCATTATAAAGAGGCAGCCAGAGGCGACGGAAGATCTTTCCCGGCACCGTGTGACCCTGCTCCACCTCCCCCGGGGATACAAAGCGCTTCATCAGACCCCAATCAAGCTGCCACCCCGGGGGTGGAAGGTGCAGCTCCGGGGTTTGGGTTCCAAACCTGCTTCTTCGTAAAACACACAACGGCGATAAAATCTAAGCCCGTTGGATAACATTTTGCGCTCGGCATGAGGAAGGAGAACAATCTCCCTGCCGTTTCATGCAAGAAATACCTATGCCTCCACGTTACTTCACCCCAGCAGTGCAAAGCCTGCTTGTTCCCTGGCTACGGTCGCTTCTCCCAGCACTTTGCACCCTGAGTCCCGCACCCCGATTTGGGATCGAGACTCCGACATGTCTGAGCACAGCCAGTACTCGTTACATTTGTGATCACTGGCTTTGCAGGAGGCATTTAGACCTGTCCTAATGTTACCTGCAGCTGCAGGTGGGATGTTCGGCGCGTTTCGTTGGAGGAGTTGGTGTAAAACACAGTGTGGGGGTGCACTGGGACGTTGCGCACCCCGCCTTTGCCTGTGCCATACCTGCTGTTTACATACATGAAGAACTTGTCCTCAGTAGCTGCCCTGCTTATTTCCAGCTGAAAGTCAGGGAAAATAACTAAAAGCTCTGCAAGGAGTGGGTAAACCATGCCGCGGCGGCCCAGGGGAAACCATGGGGCAGAAGGGGCTGCTCCGGGTGCTGGGGGGGGGCTGCACCCCCCACCCCTTCCCCCTGTGTGGGACCCCCCCCGTGGGTGCAGCAGCACCTCGCCCACTGGGTACCGTGGCTGCTCCCCGTTCCCTGTCCCCACTCGCTCATTTCCAGGCGCTCCATGCGAGGTGGCACCCCGGGGACACGGCACCTCTCGGAGCCCGAACCCCCCCCGGGGTCCCCAGCGAGCCCCCCCCGCTCGGGGTGGTTTGGCATCAGGGAAGCAGATGTGGAAATCTGCTCCCTGCTCTCACGAATCTCCCACGTTTTGATGAGCTGACACTTATCTGCTTAAAAACGCTCCGTGCCCACATCGGCCTTCTCATTTAGCCATTTCTTCTCTTGCAACTTGAAGTTCCGTGAAAGGATAACCATCATGTTCTGAATACCTACATTTTCTGCTTTATTAACAGTGCAAGTCATGCATAATTTAAAGGGGAGGAAAAGTGCATACGGCACTCGAGTTTTTCTAAATTATTTCGCCAAGAAAACAAGCTGGGCAACGCAGAGCTGAGGAACTGTATGTCTTGCCAGGGATTTTAGCAGCTCTGCTCTCCTCCCGGCCCCTGAAGAAGCAGCGTGTGGCACAGAGCAGGGCACAGTGGGTACCGGGCAGACCCGTGCCTGCCCTGGTTCCATCGCTGACCCGCTCTTTAACCCTGGGAAAGTGTTCCCAGTGTCGGTGCCTCAGTTTCCCCCTTCGGTTCAGAGCAACCAACTTTTTAAATCTCAGCTTTACTCTTCGGAAGACAGCAGAGGGAGGTTAGAGGTGACATGTACAGCCAGGCGTCATGGGACATCGATTTGCTTTTTAGTATGAGCTCGGAGTAAGCAACTGTGGATCATTTAGTTTGCATTTAAAGGCACCGAAAGAGGTCTCGGGTGCTGCAGTCCTGGTTGGACACGCACGCTGCCGTGCCGGGGGTCTTTCTGTGACCCTCCCGCGGTGCCGGGGACGAGCATCGGCGGCAGGCAGTGTCACGGAGTGACACCCCGTCCTGGGGACACAGGTCCTCCCGGGGACGAGACACAACCTCAACAATCTGGAGAGGAACGGGAGCAGCACTCGGCACCTGAGCGATGGGGCCGAGCGACCTGCCAAGCTGCAAGTGCTCCCTGAGGGGCTGGGGAGGGCGGCAGGGCTGGTGGGGGGGGCACAGCCAGACACCCCAAAATATCCTCCTTCGCCTCACAAAGCGGAGCAGCACCCCGAGCTTTCCTTAATGGGGGGGGTGGGGGGGGGTGGTGGTGCTGCTGAGGGGCTGCTCGCCTACAGAAGGGACACCGGCATTTCAGGTGAGCCGCACGAAAGCTGGGAACAAGTGGGTTAACTCAGCGAGACATCCTCCTAACCGCACCAGGCTTGGAAGCAGAGCTTGAAATCTTCAATCAGGGACACCAAAAAAAAAAAAAAAAAAAAAAAAAAAGTTGCTCAAATCCCACAAACCTATTTTGTCAAAGTGACAAGGACGAAGCGAGCTCCCTCTCCCAGGCTGGGGCTCACTTTTGCTACTGGAACTCAGGGCACTACTTTCCAAACCTCCTCTCTCGACATGGCCCTCGTGCACAAAGAGGGGCTCCTCGAGGAGCTCCGGGCTGCCGGGAGCCAGACCCTGGGCTTGGCAATTTTTTATTTTTTTTTTTTTGGCGGAGAGCCGTCCGCTTTCTCAAACCGACCTTCAGCACTCGATGGAGAAACCCCAAATTCACACGAAACAGGTTTCAAACACAGTGTGGCCACATCCGACTTCACACCACTTCCCCCCCCACACACACTCCTCGGACACTCTCACCAGCCCTTCACCCCATCGTCCTTAACCTAAATAAGGCGTTACATTTGACAGGATGAAAATGCATCATTACCAAACGAAAGTCTTACTACAAAGCTGCGTGTGACATCGATGCAGCGTTCGGTCTAGGGCAAGAGCTCCCTTTCCTTGTAGGCCCCCACCAAACACGCTCTGCCTGAACAAGCCCTCTCCTATTCACGGCAGCAGTTGCTATTCCAGCGCACCCAACAATATGTGCCTGTGTGTCGGGGAAGGCAGAGAGCCCCGGTGCTGCCGGTGCCGAGATCTGCACGTTAGTAGCTGCGAGCAGAACCACTCAGACATTTTCAATTACACTGAAATTTTGCAAAATTTAAAATAAATAAATAAACAAATAAATGTAATAATAATGATGATGATGATGATAACAATAATGATAATAATAATAATGATTTTAAAAGCTCAGAAGGGGGGGAAAGTACATCTCTAGCTGGGGCTGCCTTGCTGGTGGGAAGCAAATATTTTAGTGCCAAAACAGGCGCAGGGGCTCGAAGGAGCGGATGTCAAATGAAGCATTTACTGGCATATTCATGAAGTCTCCCCAACACTGAGTAGCAGAGCCAGCGCTCCCGGCAGCACCGCACCGCCGCTGAGCCCTGCACCGCCGCTTACATAAGCCCCTGCCGCCGGGCTGGGGCATCACCGGGAACCGGGCATCACCGGGAACCGGGCATCACTGGGAACTGGGCATCACTGGGAACCAGGCATCACCGGGAACCAGGCTTCACTGGGAACTGGGCATCACTGGGAACCGGGCATCGCTGGGGCTGGGGCATCACCGGGAACTGGGCATCACCGGGAACCGGGCATCACTGGGGCTGGGCATCACTGGGAACCGGGCATCACTGGGAACCGGGCATCACCGGGAACCGGGCATCACCGGGAACTGGGCATCACCGGGAACCGGGCATCGCTGGGGCTGGGGCTGGGGCATCACCAGGAACCGGGCATCACCGGGAAGTGGGCATGGCCGGGGCCAAGGCACCACCGGGACCGGAGCATCACCGGGACGGGGACAACACCGGGACCGGGGCATCGCCGGGAACCGGACCGGGGCATCACCGGGACCGGGTATCACCGGGTACTGGGCATCACTGGGGCCGGGGCATTGCTGGAACCGGGGCACCGCCGAGGCATTACTGGGAACCGGGACATCTCCGGGGCCAGCCCCCCGGGCGGCGTCCCCACCGCGCAGCACCTCGCTCCGGCTCCGCGCTTCGCCGAAACGGGGCCAACTTGGGGGTCCGGAGGTGGGGGGGGAAGCAACAAGACCCACGGCCCCGGCGCCGGACCCCACGCAGCGCCCGGGACACGGGGGCTGAGAGCGGGGCAGGGGGCGAACCCCCCCGCGTCCCACTCCGCGGCGCCGATTTGCAAGTCACTGCCGGGGTGGGGGGGTGGGGGGGGAGCGGGGCCGCGGGGCGCTCCCCTGCGCGCCCACCCGCGGAGCTTTCCGCGCCGTTCGGCCGCTGGGACTGCGCGCCCCCGGCGGAGCAGCGGGAAGTTTGCGGTTCGGTGTCGTCGTCCGTCCCCCCCCCCCCCCCGCCCTTCGCTCCGCGGCCGCGGGCGGGCGGCAACGCCGCAGCTAACAAGTGCGGCCCCGCCGCGCTTCCGCGGGGCGCGGAGAACCTCCAGCGCGGCGGCGGCGGCACCGGGACCGGCCGGAACCTTCCGCGCCTTATGCCCCCCCCCCCCCCCCCCCCCAACCCCGCCATCCCACCCCCCCACCCCCCCCCGCGCAATGTCAGCGTCTCATGGCAACGGCGCTGCCTCCGCGCTGCCTCCGCCGGCGCGCAGCGGGGCCCCGCCACCTCGGCGGCTGCGGGGAGAGGGGAGACACGGGACCCCCCCACACACACACACCACCCCCCCCCCCCCCACCCCGCCACCCTCCCAGTCGCGACAAGGTCACGCCGCGCCCCGCCACTCACCGTACACCCCTTGCGCGGAGCTGCCCTCCAGCAGAACCGTCAGCAGCCCCAGCAGCCCGATCGCTACATCCATCTTCACGTGAACATCCACATATCCAGCCCGAGGGGGGGGGGGGGGGGTGAGGGGTGGGGGGTGGGGATTTGGGGGGACGGGGAAGGGGGGGGGGAGCCGCGGGAAGAGGGGGGGGGGGGGGGGGGGGAAAGGCAGCGCAGCGCCCGCCGGAGCCCCGCGCTCCGCTGCGGCCGAGCCGCGCACGCCCGCGCAGGCAGGGCGGCGGGGGCAGGCGGCGGGCACCGCTCCGGTCCTCCTCCTCCTCCTCCGCCTCCGCCTCCTCCTCCTCCTTCTCCTCCTCCTCCTCCTCCTCCTCCTGCGCAGCGGGCGGCGCGGAGGGGCGCGGAGAGGCGCGGGGCGAGCCCCCCCACCCCTTTCAGGGGACCGGCCGCCGCCGCCGCCGCTTCCCGGGGCCCCCGAGCGCCTCCCGGGGCCGCCGCAGCCGCCGGCGCCCCGCGGCCATCAGATGCCAGCGCAGCTCCGCGGCCCCCGCATCGTTGCGCGGGGACCCCCCGCGCGGCGCGGAGGTGGCGTCGGGGGGGGGGGGGGCGCGGAGGTGTGTCCTGATGGTGCGCGCCGGGAGCGGCCCTCACCGCGCCTGCGGAGCGGCGGCGGCCGGGCCCATGGCTTTGGGGAGGAGGGGAAGGGGGGGGGGGGGGGGGGGGGGGAGTTGGGGGGATGATGCGCGGTGGGTTTCCCTGAGCCGTGCGGTGGGTGCGTGTGTGATGAGCGCGAGTGGGAGTGGGGGGCGGCGGTGTGCCGTCACGTTGTGCTATACGTGCCGGCAGCCGGAGCCGGGGAGCCGCAGCCCGGCGACGTCAAAGCTGCGTGGCTGGCTGCTGCGCGCCTTCCTCCGCCTCCTCCTCCTCCTCCTCCTCCTCCTCCTCCTCCTCCTCTTCCTCCTCGGCCGCCGCCTCCCGTGTCCCCGCGGCTCTGCCACCGGCGCAGGGCCGCGGGCGGTGTCACGCCGGGCCGCCGCTGTCCACTCGGGATGCGCGGTGGGGCGCGGATGCGCGGGGAAGGGGGAAGGGGGGGGGGGGGTGCGGTGCCTCCGCGCGGTGCGGACGGTGCGGGGCGCCCTGTGTCCGCGCTGGTTGCGCGGCTGGGACACACACACACAGAGGAACGGGCGACACAGGGAGGGGACACAAAGGGGACCAGCCAGCTCCGGGCGCCTGGCAGGCAGCGCTGCAGCTGAGCAACCCCCCCCCCCCCCAGGGTGCCCACCGCTGGGTTTTCACTTGGTCACACACACACCACACCCCCACACCCACCCTCGCCTCGGTCAGTGGGGTTTGGCCTCCAGAAAGTACCTGAGATACCTCACTGGCTCCCAGCCCCTTCCCAGGCTATACCCAGGCTGCCTCGTGTCTGCACATTTTAGGGTCCCGTGGGGCTGGTGAAGGTCTCTTGCCTCCCATTTCCATCTTCCCCCCCCCCCAAAAAAAAAAAAAAAAAAAAAAAAAAAAGAAAAACAAAACAACAAGGACTCGTTGGGAAGTGACTCCCCTCTCCCCTGGTTCCTTGCACCAAAACCACGGGCACCGTGGGCACAGTTACAATCAGCCTCTGCCTGCACCGATGAAGGATTAGTGCTCAAGGCCAGGACAAAGTGACGTGCTCTGAACGAAGCAATTTTACTCTCAGGGTTTCTTGTGACCCCACTGGCAGAGGGTGGGATGCTCTTAAGGAGGCTTGGACACTTCCAGCGCTGCTGAGTGCTCTCCTAAGCCACCGGTGACCGGGGCTGAGCTCCTCAGCACTGCCCTGCAGAGACGACCCAGTGCTCTGTGGAGCTTCCAGCCCCAAAGGGCTCAGAGCCATCCAGTTCATCACTTGGAAATACACTAATGGGTGCAAGGGGACGGATTCGTATCTCACTGGGGCTGCTCCCTCTTCCTGACCTGGTAAAAAAAAGCGGGAGGTGGAAAGAGGGATGGGCACAGCGCTTCTCCACACCAGCCCCATGCCCACGGAGCTCAGCACTGTCTGGAGCCCGTCACCAACCTGCTGCCAGTGCCCGGAGGTAGCTGGAGCCTGTGAGGATGGCGTTGTGCTCGCACGGTGACTGCGGTCAAAATACTATCCCCCACCCCAGAAACACACCGCTCTGCGCCGTTCCCGATGCTTCCACTCCCTCTGGAGCAAAGGTTTAACACGTTCACAGAACTGATCCTGTGTGTAATCATTTCCACGTAGGTAACCGGGTCAGTGGGGATCCGGGAAGGTTTTCTCCACCAGTTGAAGGTTGGGGAGCCTTGCAGAGCTCCCCGCTGGATCCAGCTGGTTGCTGCTTGGCTGCTAAGGCAGACAGCAACCCCGGCAAGCGTGGGGTAGTGCCTCCAGCTGCTCTGGCTCCGTGGGGAAGATTGTGCCTGGCCCCTGGGTGGGTGTCAGCAAAGGTTGTTCCACGCTGGAGGCCGGAGCAGTGTGGTCTCCTCGCTCCCAGTGACGTACTGGAGGAACTGGCCGACCCTCGCCAAGCAGCATCTTCCTCGACCGTAGGACGTGGCAGCACAGTGGCCATTTAATACAGGCTTCCTCCTGCTCCACGGGCAAAAAGCCTTTCAGGTGTAGTGGAGCCGCTTACCCAGAGGAGGTGAAGGACTTCCAAGGTGGGGACATGTCCCGTTCAGTGGTGGGACGTCGAGGGGGGGGGGGGGGGCTGGGGTCTGTAGCTCCCTCACAGCGAGTCCCAGGGAGGTTTGGCTCAGCAGAGCCAACAGTCCAGAAGCCGTGGGCACTGCTGGGGGATGGAGGGCACTGCTCAGATCCTAGCAAAGCTATTCCCTCCATGAAACCACCCGAATGCATCTCATCACCTTCACTGGTTGGCCTCGCTATTTCCCAGGAGTCCCAGGTTGCATGTCTGGGTCCATCGGATGTTCTTTTTTAATCTGTTTTTCAGTTGCAAGGAGAATTTGGGGTAACCCGCCTCAGTAGATCTCCAGAGGTTGCACTCACAGTGTGGCCCTTCAAGAGATCACATTCAACCTTCAGTTGCCGTTTGTCTTCTCTCTACCTTCAACCTCTCCATCCTGCCACACAGGTGCCAAAATGGTCCTCTAAGAAACAGCTGTGCCACTTTTTCTGGGCTATGATCGTCCCAACCCAACCCAGACTTGCACCCAGGGCTCTGGTGTCCCCCCCTCCAGCTATTTTTCTACCCCAGTCTCCTTTCTTACTCCTGTGGCCAACAGCCCCATAGCATGGAACACGGACATACTTCAGAAGTACATGTTTTCTTCACCTGTAAAGCCCCATCCATGGCAGATCTTGTCAGGAGAAGCCCAGGGCCCAGCCCTACCCCTTCTTGTTGGAGGCACTTCAAGTGGAGGTGGAAGGAAGAGGGACATGTACCTTATTTTCTGCTTTGTAGGTTGAACACCCTAAAAAGCCGGTCCTTTCTCACCCTGTTTCCAGCCCTTACATGGTTAAAGCCGAGATCCTCACAGCACAGATACACATTAGTTGTTCCTGAAGGCTGAAATCATTAACTGGCTGCTGCTCTACTCTGTGGAACCGTCGTTGGAGGGGATGCAGCATTTTGTTAGCACATCGTTTGCACGCCTGGAAGTTCAGGCTTCGGCGCAGCAGAGACTAAGGCACCTAGTAAGCCTTGCCATAAAAGCACTGCGATTGAAATTTGTGAAAATAACACACAGTCTGAAATTAAGCAGGTGCATAAATCTCTATGGGATAAGTGCCCGAATGACTTCCACTTCATAGTATCATCTGACATGGCTTTTTAAAAAGTATCTCATCCTTAAATGTTTAAACATTACAGCTACTGCTGAGATCTGGTCGACAATGTGAAGCTGTGAGCCTAAACCCAACCTCCTCTACTAGACAGTAGTTGACTGAAGAAAAAGGAGAAATTAAAATAACCCACCAACTCAGAGCTGACAGCCACCTGGAGTTTCCCCAACCGCTCCCTATAATGACATTAAATAGCAGTGGGGATGCTCCCCGTTAAATAAGTTAGCCAGGAATTGTTCTGGGGGTTATGGAATTCAGCTGCTCGCAGTCAGGGTGTTCCCAGGGCTTGGACCAGGGTTTGTGGCTGGACCCATCCATTGCAGAGCCCGTCTGAATTCGGTGGGTGGCTCGGTCACGGGCAGAGCACAGTCCAGGCTCTCAATAAAAGCTGACCCGGTGCTGTCCACCCTGTAAGGCACCGGCAAACATCAGGTTGCTCTTATTTGTATTAAAGGGGAAAATGCAAATAGTCCTGTGGCAGACACTGAGGTAGGTTTTTAACTGCTTGCTTAGCTTAATTTTAGCCAGCCCTCCCACTCCAAGGAGCTGTGTGAGCAATGCTGCCTTGCTAGAACACTGCTGTCCTGCCTGATGCAAAATATTCCATGTACATAAAGCTTGACTGTACACTTCTGTCCCTAGAAACAAGGAGCCGTCAGTGAAGCCCATCACAATGGGCTGGTTTGCATTGCTCAGTATCAAGATTTGATAGCAGTATGGAGCACCAAGTGCGTGTTATAGGCCCCTCTGTTGCAGGAGGGAGCGAGGTAAATAAAATAAAATGAAATCAATCAAACTGAATTAGGCTAACTACTTGAATAACAAAAGTTCTGGGACTCTAATGCTTCCCACACTCCAGCAGCCATTTATTTCAGAAGCTCTTTTCTTAGCAGCTTTTTCATTTCATCCAACACCAGACAGAAGCAAATTATTTTCTCTCTCGTTGTTGGGAGCAAGTCTACAAATAATTGAGATTTGACTAAAGGAGACCATTAAGTAACATTAAGATTCTGAGTAATTTGGCGGTGTCAGTGAGTGGTACGTGTTACTCTAGTCCCTCCTTATCAGCCACACTGCCTTGAGATTTCCAGCATCCGACAAAACTATGGCAAAACTAAGGAATTTAACTCGGTCTCATAATTCTGCTGAATTTGGGGACTGCGTGTATCTTGTGAGACGTGTTTAGAGTGTGAGCAGATTATATACATAATTAGCAAATTGTCCTAGAATGAGTAGCTAAAAAAGGGGCAGGAAAGAATTTGTCAGGTGCCCGATCCAAGCCTGGATCATCTGCTGTTTGTGTTCTGGTAAACGCGCCGCAG